GTCAATAATTACACTTCAATAATAAACAATAGCTGCACGTAAGTGTTAGAAAAGTTCAAAGTTTCGACATAATTAAAATTTGGTTATAAATATATGTCATTAAAGTATATTATACATATTTCTAGCCAAAACTAACATACATAAATAAATATATATCTAAAATCAAAAGCATTATTCTACACAATTATGCTCCATGACTAAAATACATCTATTATATTCCTCATGCATGATAATGTCCAAGTTTCATTTGAAATTTGATGATGTGCAGTTCAAAATAATCTAGTAATTTGTTTTGTAATTTTGAATTTCAAGGCACATACAGCATAATACTCTCTGTATGATACATGAATTCACTTCTATATTCAGATACTGGATTACATTAGTCAGTTTAACATTCATTGCATTGAAATGCCAATTGTTGGAAATCGATAAATCTTATTTTTATTGCATATTTTATAATAGAATTTACATTGTGCATTGTGAATTATAGATCGTTTATTTGCATACGCCTCTAAAATAGAAAGCTTTGAATGAATATTTTAAATTAATAATTAAGTATTATTATTATTATAAACATAAAAGTAGAAAGAATATTATAAAATCAAATTTTTATTTTTCTACCATTGAAATAAATATTTGTAATAAGATTTAAACCTTGATTGATAATAGGAAAATTTTCAGTATAATGCGTATTGATTCTTTTAACATTGCTTATTCAAGATCTTAAAAAAAATTACATTATAAATAAAACATTTTAAATAGATTTTTAAAAGTTCTGCTAACTCAAAAACCGAGTAGAAAAATGGTAAAGTTCTACAAAATAAATTCAACGAGTTTAAAAATATATACAGGCCTATTTGATAAAATATATCTGGACCGAATATTGATAATGTATTAAATACAATAATCGAATTAAAAGTAAAAAAATTTTAATATTTCTAACATTTTAAAATTCAATATTAACGGTACTTAAAGCATCCCAGACAAATTTTTGGTATCTCTTACATCTGTGATGGATGATTTCTTTTATCCGAACTTTAGATATAGCCAGAAACCATAAAGTGTAAAGATTTATAATACGAATAAGTCATCGGTCAACTGTCACATTTGACTATCTGTACATCAACACATGCACATTCGACTCTCAACCTATTGATTCTTATCGGAACATCATTCGCATTGATAATGATATGTCCGACGATTATGTTGCTGATTATGTTACATTTGCAGATAATATTCACAAACAACGATCAGATTATTATCAATTTTCGTGTAGTATTTCGAAATTTACAAAAAGTCACAATCTAATCCAAGTAATTATTTAGGGTGAGCGTGTAAACGAACTATTTATATTTAAGGAATAGTCATTGCTCCATCAAATAATCTTTTATATTAATTTTTACAATCAATTGCGTGAGAGATAGATTTAAATTAGGTTTACATCTTAATTACTATTCTATAACGTGCGCCTTATTAAAAAAAATAAATAAATAAGGTGCGCAAAAATAGCAATTAGGACCTCAAGTAATTTATGCAATCCGATGGCATTAGATTCTTGTTTATCTTTTATGGTTTAATGTCAATACATTTTGATGCCCTATTTTCTCGAATTATTATTAACTGTCTCCCAATCGGACAAAAGATATCGAGCAATTATAGGTTAAATCATTCTTTTATATAAATATCGACCCCTTTAAATAAAAATTTTTTCCATCCATCCCTAAGGGGTCAACACCGACACCATTGGAAAGCCTTGGTTGAAATAAAATACTCCGTATGTTAATTTTATTTGTTATTATTTTAAATTATTTTTACGTGTAATAAATTTAATTTATAATCAAATTTAAATTAACTGCTCAGATTTTATAAATAGTATTTTTTTTTTTTTAGTAATTTTAATCTGTTTTAAATTATGAATTAAAAATAAATTGTGCAACTCGAGTCTTTCATTGTTTTGCAGTTAATTAAAGCTTTTAATTAGGTTGATTTAGGCCTATATAGGCCTATATTATTTTAAAAGAACCTCTATAATTTGTGGCCTTAATCCAAAATAAATGAATAAAAATAAAAGAAAAATCTAAAAAAAAAGTGAGCTCAACGACTTCCTTCCATTTATAAAAACTAGTTATTCAAACGGATATGCAAATTAAGCATAGTTAATGCAATAATGCGATTAATTATTGATCAGAATCTTATTTGAAAAACAAAGAATGTATTATCCTCCTTTCTCTCTTTAATTTTCACCAATAAACCGCACAATGCCCATACAATGCATCGACATCAATAGAATGCCAAATGAACTCAAAAACTTTGAATATTCAAATTGAATTGCATCTAAACTTCATATTTTACTTTTAAAATTATTCTAAAAAATATTAGTTAAATTTTTATTAGAATATATTTCATATAGACTATATCCACACAATCATTTTATAGTATTTTAATTTAGATTGTTAAATTTCAAAGTTGGAAATTCAGCTATAAAACCAAAAAAAAAACATCAATTTAAAACTTAAATTACTTCTGCAGATAAGTCTAATAAGTTACACTTATTATATTTAGATTGTTTAATTTATTATTATTTTTATTTAATTATTAATTGAAGACCCACCGACCTCTTCTGCCTCTAGCTGAATACACTCTTATTTTCTTAAGTTTAGGCCTATTTTAATTTAGGAGCAAACATATTAAAAATATAAATAAAATTTATAAAAATTGTAAATATTAAAAAGAATTGATCATTAATTTTATATCAATTATAATAATTAAATTCCCCATTGGAAAGCCTTTTTTTTTTTTTTGGTTTTATTAAATGCACGATCAGTCGGATCAAGTTATTTTCTGTAGTTTTATGTGATATTTAATATAAGAAAAAGATATTTTAGAGTGTTTTTAAATGCACAAAGTATTTTTTTGTCATTTAAAAACAGTGGCGAACTTTTATTTCCATCTAAAATAAACGTAAACGATATTCCCGTCTTTTACTTCATTCCCTCCTCAACAGTTTAGATCTTTTATCTGCTATTTATAGAACACTCTTTGGCGATTATTTTTCCATAATTATATCTAATTTGTCACTTTTTGAAATATCATCTTCTTCTGATGACTATCTCCCGTAGATGAGTTATTATTGTCCCGTTGAAAAAAGGAAGAAAAAATTAAAGAGCAATATTAAGTTTAAACCACGAGTATCAATGATTCCAATCGTATAATATTTCAAATTAATTTAAATTTGTACAAATATATTAATGATATACCTATTAAATCATCGTTTGATTTTTGTAATCTTTACAAACACCGTGGATACCATTTCCTGCAAGACGTCAATTATCCGCCATATTGGCTCGTTTAGCTGGAAGGTATATTGAATAAAAACGCAGTTTCGCATAGGAACTCGAGTTAGATGACAAAAAATCACCATCATTTTAAACGTGCGTGACAAACAACAATTACTAGAACCAAGAACATTACTGCATCAATAACTTATGTTTATAAGTTATTTTTCTTGTACATCAATTGTGATCGCCATTGGAGCAGACAAAGTGGCATCGAAAGAACGTCGAATTGTACTTGCAGATGTCCAAGCCGGCACCGGGCGAAACAACTTCGAAAAAACAGATCAATATTTAACTGTTATGGGAACCTGCGAAATATCATTTCACCTGCGAAGAAGATGCGCTATCATTCTTAAGAAATGTTTTCTACCTCTAAAATAATGGATGAGAGCTATTACAGAGTTCATATGTCATCTCGTCACCAAATTAATCCCTAGATTATTATAGTTATTCATTTTATTAGGATTTTTGTGGGAAATTTTCTACTCCATTAGACTAATGATATAAATCATATCGTGAATATTCTAAACAGTTATATATAAAAAAAATATAAAGCGAATTTTCTTAAGAATAAATTCTTTTGAAAGATAACGATATCAACGTAGAATACATAAGTTATATAGGCCTAAGAATGTATAGATTTTGAACAGATAGTTTATATCTTTTAAAATTTGAAAATTTAAATGGCTTAGATATAAAATTAGCATATACAGGAAGTAGAGGATTTTAATTGTGCATGCATTCTTTGGAGAAATTTCATTTAAAAGCTGCTCGCACTTCAAAGTTTACTCAGATAATTTATATCCGACTAAAAAGGTAGGTGGATGAAGGCAGAAGGGGCCACCGTTTGACCTTACAATCTATGTGCATGACGAGAAGCGGGTCGGAGGACACAATCAGTTTCCTAGACTTCGATAAGTTGCTAATGATTAATGACCATTCGACCCATGACTAATGGAATGGCTCAGTCATTGATGTTCTCCAATAACAAATCATCTCCTTGCTGGAAATGACCGATTTCGATCTATTTGTCACACCTGATCACGTCTCCGATTTTCGTGAAAACAAGACACAATGTTTTAATTTTTAACGTCGTTATTAATTTAAATCACGTTTTTAATTATTTAATTTTAATTAAGATGGAAGAATGGTTAGATTAAGTCGAAATATAACGTATTTCAATTATGCCTACACGTTTTTGAATCATTTCTTCAGTGTAGATGTAAAAAAATTGAAGAAATCATTAATTAAAATTAACAAGGAGTGATTTCAGAACGAATGTAATTTTGATCGAACTCGAGTAAATCGATAATGTTGCGCGGTGTTGAGGTACTGCGTCGTGGCACAAGTGATTTATCGCCTCTTGCAGTTATTACAGGTGCCATTGTCATGGTGTGCACGGTGTGCATGTCACATTTCTCATTTCATGAACTGAACCTTGTTGCTTATTCATTAGTCTGTAAGTCGCTTTCTGCTTGTAGATTGCCTCTTTGTCAGATCTTTGGGGAGTATTCGACGTGTAGGCTGGAAGTGAAAGTTGGGCATTTTGTCTTTGCAACGCCTTACATTAATATCCACACACGGACGTGTAAGACAGAGTATAGAACAATATTTTAGTTTTCAGCAAGACATAAAGCCTAGTCTAATTTATAGAGGTGTTGTTAACCTTGAATTCTTTTGGTTATACCACGATTATTCTTCTAAATTGTCAAAATTATAATACACGAATGACTAAATATCTTTTAATTTTTATCTGACCGTTCTTAAACTGTTTGAATTAAATAACATTCAGCGGGAGTTCAATTTATCGAAAACACCCACCAAACACGATATCATTAGGAGTGGTTTCGCGTTACAGAAAAAATAGTCGCTCCAGCATATACCGCTGATAGGTCCTTTTATATAATTCCTGTGGGATATTTAATACTGGAGTCAATTATTTCTACAAGATTAGAATCGAATCAACACGAAAATGTATTTAACAATTTTCAAATATTAGGAGGGAAAGTTATATTAGGCGACTACTATAAAATTTTTTTATAGCATTCAAAAATAGCCGTTTCACTAGGAAATGCGCTCTTATATTTTTGAATGTTTATTTTCATAAATTTAATATTTAAAGTCGGATTTCTTATCCATATTTTACGAGCCGGCAAAAGAAGCACAAATTAGATAGCAGAAACAACCACAAAATGTTTGTTGGGTCGGTGGTATCAGAACCCTTCATTGCTTTGTCATTCGGAGGATGCCTGTGAAATTCCGACAATTTCTTAGTCATTACGAGCGAATGTGGACACGTAACCCGTCATTGAAAGTGAGAAATATCCGAGTGTCTCGCAGGATAGCTTTTCCGAGGTAATTTAAAATGATTACATGTGTGGCAACAGGCTTGACGTCGACACAGAACCGACTGTTCAGACAAACATCCCTGCCAGTTTATGACGAACCTAACCGATCATTACGCTGGCAGCAATGTCTACACTTGCCATGGTCCATGTCACGTGCAGAACTAGGTGAAAACATCCCCCATAGGTGCTTCGTGACTGAGTATCTCCTCTGCTAATGAGCCTTCCATTCGCTAATTCAAAGCGTGGTTTCGTTGAGTTTGGCCCACTCTTTCCACTAAATCAATTTTATTTTACGTTTATTGACTGAAATTGAATGCCATTAAAACCTACTTTTTTCTAAAAAAAAATAAAAATTCGATTTTCAATCATAATGTCTATTATAATAATTATAAATAAGATATAAAAGGCAATTTACTTAAAGCTGAAAAATTACTTATTAAGTCATATTGTAAAATAATATTTCTTATTCACGTTAATAAATAATTATGCAACATTATAAAATTTTATTACCATCGTAAATATTTACTTCCTAGACAGCCTGCGCCATCTGAAGNATTTATTTAAAACCAGTTAAAGAAAAGGAAATAAAAAAAAGTTAATAATATACTTATTTCCACAATCTCGTTGATTTATTTAAAAAAAAAGTAAATATAACTTTATAGAATTATTAACTTTATTTATTTAAAAAAAAATTAAAATTTTTTAAAACTAATTTTAAATATAATTCCTGAAGAAACATCACTTATATTATCATGTTATTGGCTATCTATTTTATACACTATAACTTATAATAAAACATTTTATTTAATAAATTTTAAAGGCGAATTAATTTTCATTTGAAATAATTAAATATTTCAAATATATTATAGTTTAATAAATCATTATTAAAAAGTACAACCACTGAATAAAGTTATAAATATGTGGAATATATATTTTTTTAAATTAATGAAAAAATACAAAATGGATTTAAAAGAAAAAGAAAACGGAGAGACAGGAAAAAATGAGACGACAGAAAATAGTTGAAAAATATTGTTAACTGCGTAAGTCCCGGACAGGAAGATAGACGATGATGATAATGCTTAGCAATTGATTTAAGTTATCTTTTCAATGTTATATCTTGAAATGAAATACTTGAGAAAAATATCTTATTTTTTGTCCAATGAAAATAAAACTAAACAGATGAGATAAAAATATAAATTAATTATTTTTAACTTTTTTTTTAAATATTTAAAGTCGCCACATAATTGCAAAGTAGAAAGGAAAATTTATATTTTACAATTATTTTAAGTATATTTTTTTATTATAAAAAATGAATAAATATTAATTGAATAAGTTTGATATTTAGCATTTAAATTCTTCTGTTAAAAGTTTTAAAGTAGAGAAATGCCATTCCATTTTATCGCGATGGTCTTTTTTTAAATAAAAATTTCATAAATTTAAATTGAAATGACAATAAAATGGCAGTTTTATTATCCGAATTTTTGATGAAAATGTCATCTTTCGCTTTTAAAATATTAAAAAAAAAAAAAATCTTCCAAAAGTTTGAAAGTATTTAAAAATTACACGAAAAAAGTGTGCAGAGTTTTTCGTGTGAAGTTACGACAGGAAAGTCAAAAAATGTCACGGCTCTACTTATTTTTTATTTATTTATTTATTTTTTTTTGATAATCATCTTTAATAGCGACTTTTAAACACGAAATTTAACTAATTTTCATATAAGCGAGGTCAAGCTTCTTGGAAATATTATTTTTATCAAGTAAACCTATGGATTTTATCCGTGATTTTTTTTAAATAATAACTTGTATAAAGTAAGAAAGTCGAATTTAATTTCAATGAGGAAATATGTGCACATTTACAAACTGTGATTTAAACCAACCTTTTTTCTTTGTTGATAGTTAAAGATATATTTAATAAAATGATTTATTTTAAGGAAGAGAAAAAGTCAAGATAACGAAATGAATTGTGTAAAATAGAAAGTTGTAAATCAAAATATTCAATTTGTAACATAATTTTTAATTGGGAAATTTTCAAAATCCATTACTAAGCTATAAATTTGTAAAATATAGAAGAGTAGATAGAAAAGAATAGTTTTCTTTTTTTTAAATTAAAAGACTTTACGTCTATTTATAAAAAGAAAAAAAAATGGAAGTAAATATTACCTGTAGACCTAGAAGGAATAATAAATTAATAATTAATAAAATTAAATTTGTCTCTCAAAGTAAAATTTATATTAATGTCATATAGGTAATCTCAACACTTAATGTTAAATTTATGGAAAAATTATTCAAATAAAGATAATCTCGGCGATATTGTCGTTAGTAAATAAATAAATCTTGGAGTGTATATAAATTCGGCGATGTTTATTCAAACATTCGGACGAAATGTGTCGAAGAGTATCTAAATAACTAAGTTTGATAAACGATGTTGATAATTTAAACGTCTCATTCCAGGATAAAACTGAACCAGAGAGGATCGAACACCTGTGCTATCCGAGTAGACCCTACCTAGTTATTACTGATTAATGAGTACTAAGATATTATTTTCTGTAGAAAAAGCGATAGATTATCACCCAAACTACGTAAATTAACACGATAGCAGTTAGTTCAGCTGCAATAAATGGGATGCTTTTTTATATTTTAGTGTCTCTGAGCACCGTCAAAAGTAGGCGGATCGAAATTTATAAAGGAAATCAATCATTCTTTTTTGCTCATCAATATTAGTTGATTTAATGAGTTTGCAAATTTTAACCTTTGATAATAATTTTATGGCTTCTTCCCATTCGGGGCATCTTTCCGATTTAATTAATTACAATTTTAATAATTATTCTAAAAAGTTATGGCGCGGTTTTGCAGAACCGAAATTATCTAATATTTTAAATATAATTAAATTATAAAATTATATGGCCCACTATTTTTTTCATATATAAAAATGGCAACTCTAATAATATTCCTTCATAAATTACAATCTAATTGAATTTAATGCTAAAAATATTTTTTGGAGAAGAATTTTATAATCTTTAGTGGATTAGACGTGTTTATATTATCTATTATACTCTTTATATTTTATATTTAAACGAAAATAAATATTGGATATATAATAGACATTGACATTGTTAAAAAGGGTGTATTTTTGTGTTGAATTGGAAGAAGTTTTTTCGGTTTTGTAACCTCGTGATTTGTTAAATTTAAATTAAATGTAACTAATCACCGGATGAAGAGGGTAATCCCAGTTTTTCTAAACAAACATCGATTAACCTAATTAAATATTACATTTATAAGCCGCACAGAATATTTAAAAAATTAAAAGACAAATACCGTATTAACATTAATTTGTTAATTTAATATATATAGATATAATTTTAATGTTCTAATTTCACTTTTTTACAGTCAGTCTATATATCTACCCCTCTTTCTTATAGACTGTACTCACTTAATAAGTGTCAAAAAGCTGATTAACGGAGGTAAAATGTCTAAGATAATTATAGGAATTTAGATGAAATTTGCTTTGTATGTTGATTTATCAAGAAACGTGTCACGTATCGTTGAATTTTGTTATGTTCGAAATAAAAAAAAACTAAAATACATTTTCTTCGAATTAATTAGAATTAAATAAAATTATATTAATTTTTAATTATAAATTTTACACAGTCATCATCATTTATTTATTAATATTACAATATAATACAATACAAATTGGTATTAATAAATAGAGAACAATTTCTCTGTTACGGAAGAATAGTACAAATGATTAAAAAACGTTTACGATTTAACAAATTTAGGTTATAAAGGTACAAAAATAAGTCATAATTACTATAGACATCAATTTGCGATTACGTACAGTACATAATGATCCAACTATGCTAACAAGGCAACGAATACTAAAACGAACATTAGTTTTGATTCGTCGAATAGTATTTTTTAGAAATTTTAACAAAATAATTATAAATTTTGTATAAGTTCGTTTTGCTGAGATTATTTTAACTTAGTTTGAAGTCCAGTGGTAAATTAGAATTACATATTTGAGATATTTTATAATAGTCACGCAGTCTAGAAAGTTCTTGACAACTATGTTCTTGATATAATGAAAATTCTTAGAATTACATAAAGGGCAATAGGATCTTGTTAAGTCAATATAAATATCATTATAAAAAGAGAATATTTATTTAAACGGAGTTGAATTATAAGATTGTAAGGGCGGAATTTCCAATAAATCGATGTACCAAGGATGATAACTACTTTGATATAATGAATTTTGATCTTTGTTTATTGCTTGCGAAATTGCAGAGTCCATTAGAAGTGAATTTTCAATTATTAATATTATCTTTAAATAATAACTCCGATACACCAAAAGTATTTAGAAGTTGATTTAGCTTGTACTGCCATAGTTGTTTAAATTTCCGATTTTTACTTTGATTAATATTTTGTTGATGTAGATATATTATAGTATTATCGTTTTTAAATTTAATTCTGTAATAAAATTTTATTATGCGTTTCAATACGAAAGGGAAGAACCAAATCCGATTTACTTCGTGCCGCAGAGCATAGCATGGAATAGTTCTTTCTAGTTGGAATAATTTGCGTACATANGATGTAGATATATTATAGTATTATCTTTTTAAAATTTAATTCTATAATAAAATTTTATTATGCGTTTCAATACGAAAGGGAAGAACCAAATCCGATTTACTTCGTGCCGCAGAGCATAGCATGGAATAGTTCTTTCTAGTTGGAATAATTTGCGTACATAATAGACAATATAAATTCCTATTTATATATATAGTCTAAATTCCATATTGGGCTTGCATAATATATTATAGGAACGATTGTTGAGTTAAATAATTTTATGCGAATTTTCAAATTGATAGTTTTCAACTTGGAAGATACAAATAGTAGATTATCTATGGCTTGCTTTGCTTTGATTTTTATTTTGTTAAAATGCTTTTTAAAGGATAAATTCCAATCAAATCTGACTCCCAAATAGTCTATTTCATTTACAGTTTGTAAAAGAGTATTTTCATGATATAATTTAGTGTTATTTTCGGGTATTTTACAATTATTGCGGAATATTATAACTTTCGTTTTGGTCGGATTTATTGTTAAATATAGTGATTGAAGAAATTTATTGAGTTGATTAATTTCCTTTGTAATGAAATCTTTGTTGGGGCCAGAAGCACAAGATCATCAGCAAAAAGAATATAATGAAAGACTGTATTTTCTATTATAATTCCATCAGTTGATTCGGTAAAGAGGCGATCAATACCTATAAGGTAAAAATTGGATCACCTTGAAGAATTCCACGGGATAAAGATAAAGTTTGAGAGATATTATTGCCTTGTTTTATCTTGATGTTATAGTTTGAGTATAGTTTTGAGATTGCTGAAGTAAATCGGGTACTTGCGCCACAGGATTTAAGATTGTGAACCAACAGGGGAACGTATATTGAATCAAATACTTTTTGAATATCAATGAAGGAAGCGTATATTCTCCTGTGTTTTTTTAAAGATATAGTTGAATTATCATTAATAAGGTGAAGATTGCAAATTCGGTTCCTTTATTTACAGTGAATGCGTATTGGAATTCGGCTTCTATTCCCATAGTTTTAGTCCATAGCTTAAATTTGTTTGCAAGAAGTGAAGTAAAACATTTTCTTATAACAGATAGCAATGCTATTGGTCTATAGTTGCTAGGAGAGGAATGATTGCCTTTTTTTTATAGATCATCGTAAGAATGGCTGAGTTCCAGGAATCGGGGTAGAAATCAGATTTGTACATACTATTAAATAAATTTAATATTTTTAATCTAGAATTGTTCGATAATATTTTTAAGAAATCGGTAGGAATATTGTCATTTCCTGGAGTTATTTTACTTGTTGATTTTTTAATGACATCATCCAATTCGGTAATAGTAAATTCAGAATCTAGAATATCATTGTAGACTTCTATACTTGTATTTAACGGTACTTCCGTATGGATTTGTGGAAATCTATTATAAAACTGCTTTCAGGTATTAAAATCTATTGTGACAGAACTTTCCTTTAAATTTGATTTAGGCCGAAATCTTCCTATTGTATTCCAGAACACTTTGCATCATTATTATTTTAAATTAAGTTTAGTTCAATTTTGCGAAGATAATTTGACTTTTTAGTTTTAAGGAGATTATTATAGGTTCGTTTAGCTTTTTTATTACTATTAAACTTAAATACAGTTGAATTTTGTCTGAATTTTTTAAAAACTGCTTGTTTTATCATCCTCATTCTATAATAGTCAGAGTCAAACCATCCTTCTTTAGCTTTACTTTGAATATTTCTTTTATTTTTATTTACACATATGTAGTCATTTAATATGGTTGTTATTAGATTGTATTTTTTTTTTTCATTATTAGTACTCGTTATTTCTGGAATGGCAATAAAACGATTATCAATCTCTCTCCGATATTTTAAAATTTTATATTTTATTTTTGGACTATTGTTGCATTGGTTGTTGGTTCCCTTTGCTGAAGATAGCCGAAATTTGGTTATTATGGGAAAGTGATCCGATGCATCCATTAACGTTGTCATAAATTCCATGCAACAGTCCAGAAGTAGTTCGGAACATATTGTAAGATCAATTATTGATTTCCCAGAGTGGGTTAGGCATGTATATTCCGCAGGAAAGTCAGGTTTATACGACCATTCAGTATAAAAAGTTTGTTTTCAGTTACGAGGTCTAATAATTTTTTTCCCAAATTATTAACCTGTTTATCCTTAGATTTCCGACTATTATAAATTAAATGATTAGGTCCCTTATATTTGGAGTCCATTACTTCACCAATTCTGGAATTGAGATCACCCAATATTATAATGTACGGAGTTATATAGTGCCATATATCAATAACTTTGAAAATTTCATTAAGAGTATTTAGATCACCGGGTGGCACATAAGTTAACATTATCATCAGTGTTTTATTATTCTTATTTAATAATTTATTTCTAGTTATTGCGATGAGAAGTAGTATATAATTCCTAGATTTTTTAACTTGGATTATTTTACAATACTCCCTTTCAATCAATAAACATATACCACCACTCGGTCGTCCGGGATCTACTGATTTACTTGATAGTGCGGATTCTATTATAAATTTATTAGGGAAATTTGTAGTATAAAACTTATCTGATGTTATCCAAGTTTCCGTCATGGCAATAATAACCGGATTATATTTAATATGCAGAGAATTAACAAATGTAGTTTTGTATTTAAGTCCTTGGCAATTCCAATTTACTATAGAAAAGGAATGGTTACTCTCGAAATTAAGTGATCTTTGTATATGCCTTTGATTTGTAATATATCAGCTTCTCAAGTTTATCAAGTTGAAATAAGGTAAAAAGGTATCTACATATAACAGGCTTTTCATATTAATATTATAAGTAATTTTGTCAGTTCCTGTTATTAAGATGTCATTATGTAATTTATCTCGTGAAATTTGTAGTATAAAACTTATCTGATGTAAGTTTCTGTCATGGCAATAATAACTGAATTATATTTAATATGCAGAGAATTGACAAATGTAGTTTTGTATTTAAGTTCTTGGCAATTCCAATTTACTATAGCAAAGGAGTGGTTACTCTCGAAATTAAGTGATCTTTGTATATGCCTTTGATTTGTAATATATCAGCTTCCCAAGTTTATCAAGTTGGAATAAGGTAAAAAGGTATCTACATATACCAGACTTTTCATATTAATATTATATGTAATTTTGTCATCTCCTGTTATTAAGATGTCATTATGTAATTTGGCTCATTAATTTTGTTTTCGTATTTCATGTAACATTGAAAGTAAATTTTTGCATCTAATTCTTGAGTTTTTAGTGAGATCTGGAGATATTTGAGTATCTCTCCAATCTTCAAGCTGATTTTGCATTTTCTTCCGAATAAAAGCAGAAAAGATCTGATTTTGAAGTTGATTATTGTTAAAGGTTATTCTTATGGTTATTTTTGGTGGTTTCATTAATTGAACCACATCTAAAATATCATCTCAAACTATTTATTATTATTTGAAGANATTTTTATTTTTAATTTATATTAAATAAATAAGTGTATAAATAAATAATGAGAAAATTCGTATACCGTCTATCAACTGTCTATCTGTAGACATGAGTAAGAAATGAAAATATACTTATGAAATTGTATGTTATATTTAAAAATCTCTTTTAATAATACAGTAAACCTATTTTTGCTATCCTCAAATACTTAAATATTTATTTATGAATCAAACAATGCAAATTAATAGTAGATCGATTAGGAATTTTTCTAGAAGAAAGTATAATGCGATAGAATTTATTTAAGCCCAATAATAGTAGAAATATTGAGTATTTAACAAGTAAAATATTAATTATAACTCATAAGAATTAATATAGCGTAAATAAATAAAAATATTTTCAAGAGGGAAATTCATAAATTAACTAAGAAAATAAATGTAATGTGAATTTTTCTGTTAATATTGTATGTAAGCCTGTAGCTTACAATGAGATACTTGAATTCGACTCCTACCTACCATTGATATTATTCGCAAATAACCAGAGTTTAGCTTTGATTTGTTCTCTTATTCATGTTAATTAACTTCTACTGCCAGGCGGATTGCCATTATTGGACAAAATTAAGACCAGCGATAGAGTCTAACAGGAGATGAAAGCCATAAAAAATCCTATCTATTGTAATTAAATTAATATAACGACGAGAAAATTTAAAGTAATAATAAAAATTGTTTATTTTTTCCTACGACTATTCTAATATGTTTATTAACAAATGTTTAATAATCTAATATCATCCTCAAAATTACAGAAGATTATGCAAAATTATCTCCTTTCTTACAGTAAAATAGTGTATATTGAAAATTATTATTCATATTAATATTTCAACTGTAACATTTCTTATTATTGAAATAAAAATATTTAAATTAAACGATTCACAGTGATAATACAGATATTACAGGATGGATATTAAAATAAGTTTCAACATAATGCATACGTCTTAATGTAAAAATGATTTAATTTGTTAATCTTCATTATGGAATAAAACAATGCATCATAATAATGAGAATTTTCATAGTGAATAAAGCAATTTAGAAATTAGATGTAGCATGTAAGAGGATAATTCAATAAAAATTCACTTGATTAATGATTATCGAAACTCCAATTATATTAAGAAAAACATTAGTACAATAGTATAATATAATAATAACTGTAGAAATATGATTCGAAAAATTGAAAATATAAAAATATATTTGAGTTTAATATTAATTTGACAATAGATCAGCGAATTTAAACGCTAAAAATAGTACTATACATAGAAGTAATAGAAAGTGAAACGTTAATTAATAACCTGAAAACGATTATTTGATATCCTTTCGTATTTTCTTATTTTGGAGACAAAAAAGCAGACATATTACAAGATATACTCTTCTCTATTCAATAAATGTATAGAGATTTTGGCATAATTGTGAATTGTGATTTTGGCAAATAAAATCTTAATGCAAATTCCGTCATATTTAAGATATTTTGGCACAATAAAGTCTTCAAGATGTTATTAATTGTTAAAACCATAAAAATAAATGTTAAAAATATCTTATTAAATAAAACAATATATTAATTTGTAATTAATTAGGTGACTTACATGCATAATCGTGAACATTCTGAAACGGAAAGACTCATTTAAGAAATATAAACGAACACATTACGGATAAAAACAGACAAGATCGAAATTATTCTAGAGCATAAGGTTAAATTTAACAATTACTTAATTTCGATTCATAATAACAGGCATCTTAATTGTTTCGACTATAATATAAACTAATTTGATTATTTAATATTTGAAAATAATTTTAATTAACTTACAACCTATCAATTCTTATTAACTTTATATTACTATTCATGGTTATGGTATTATATATCATTTTTGTTTCTTGATAAGAACACTTAATTCTACTAGAATTAGATACAGATTAAAAATAAATAAATAATTAATTAATTAAAATGAAAATATTAAATGCTATAACTAATTAAATTAATTAATTATTTTCATATTTTTTTTTATGATGAATTTTTATGGTTGAATATCAATCCCAAAAGAAATTTATGATTTTCTTTTTTAAATAAAAATTCTGTATATTATAATTTGGCAAAGGCTTTTTCTTCTGTTTAATTTAGTAATATATCACATAATAAATAGCAAGATTTTCAGAATTATAAAAAAAAAAAATCGATTTAATCTTTTAATAAGATAAAACATGTTTGGTCAATGTATTAAGCAAATTATCTTTCAGGTTTTCCCAATAATTAAATACTGCGCGCTTCTTTTCCTTATTAACTACTAAATTATTATTATTTTTAATCAAATTTTACAGAATTTTTCTTTTTATTAAATATTCTGTTTCGATAACTTTTATTTTTTTTTTTATTAAGGCAATAAATCAGACATTTTCATTTTTCTTCACAGTAAAAAATAAATAAATAAATAAGAATTATAATACTAAATGCATTATGGATGAAAATTATTTGCACACATAAATTTTGTGTTTAACATTATCTCTAAGTGCTAAGTAAATTTTTAGAATGACTAAAACTAATTATTTTAAGCTAATTTATATGATAATCATAAAATGGCACTATTTATCGGAAGCTGGGTCATTTCCATATTTAAAACAAGAAATTAGTCTCTTAAAATAATGTCAAAATGACTAGACATTTTTTTTATATCTTTGCATTCTTTTCTATTAATTATCTATCCATTCTTTACATTTTGATAATATTAATATATTTTATAATATTACCATTAACGAATATTATAGTTCAGTAGAAAAATATGATCTAATAGTTTAATATTTTTCAAATTTCCTATAAATATTGCTAATGATATCATTAATATTACAGAAATGAAAATATAAAAGGAACTAATAAATCAATCTTGTGGCTGACGTAAACAAAAAGAGAAGACTTTCTGATCACTGTGAGAGATCAAAATGAACAAGAGGATGTCTAATTGTCTATTGTAAATTAAAGTTGTGACCGATAATCTCAAATTCTATAGAATTGTATGAGAAACAAAGATAAAAATCAGAAAAAATATTAGTATAATCAGATATTCTGATAAACATAAAACAAATAAAAAGAATAAAGAGAAACCAATCAAATGAATAGAAAAATTGTATTTTTCAGTCATTTTCTTTCAAATCTTATTTTCAAACAATGGTTTTACGGACGAATCAAACAATTAATATGTAATTTAAGTTAAATTAGTAAATCTGAAAATAATTTCAGAAATTAGACATCGAAGGCATTTAATAATTACCAAATTTTTAAATAAGTTGATTTTCTAAAGATTAAAAAAGTTTTATATAAGTAATTTTTGATGAATTACAATAAAATATAAGTTTATTTATTTTATATAGTTTCAGTTTATGCAATTTATACTTATATATTTAATATCAAATTGTTATCGATCGATGACCGAAGAGGTTAATGTAAAAATATTGAAATATTCAAAATAACTATCTCAATCAATTTAATAATATTAAATTGAAGAATGCCTTCAAAACATCTTCTAAAATATCATTTACTGATTGAAAAACAAAATATAATTATGCCAGAAAATTCTGATATAGAGTACAGTACATTAAAATCAAATTAAAATTCAATTAGGTAAATTATTAGAATTGTGTATTTTTCCCTTTGTTAAACTATTATAAGAACAATATATCTATTTAAGAATAGATAGGGCCTGGGACGGATTTCTAAATAGGCACAGTAGGCCCGGGCCTAGAGCGGTAGATTTTAAGGGCAAAATTGGTGGACATAGTACGATATAAGAATTTCAAATATTGAAATATTCATTATTAATTTTTAATGATCTGTGTAAATAAATAAAGATAATGATTTAAATAATTTAATTACATTAAAACAATAGCTTTGACTACTTATTACGTAAATATATACAGTAATATGCATGATTTATTTTTAATTAAAACAAAATGTACCACGTGCTGTAGGTTAACTGTACAGTTGTGTAAAAATGTTTTATTTTCATATTTTTAAAATGTACTAAATCTAGTAAATTTTCATACAATATTCCGTAATTAAAGTTCAAGATAATGTATCAATATAACAGAAAATGCAGCCTGTGCTTACAGCGGCAAAAGGGTTAATAAAAACATAATATAATAAACTCAGAGAAAGAAGAACAAGAAGAACAATCATCATCATCGTGTAATATAACTGCATGGACAAAGTTGTTATTTCTACTTTTTCTTTAATGTGTAAAATAAACATTTAGCTACTTTCTAAAACATGTTATTATACGTTGTATAATTTGTCTTATGACTTATTCACCGTATACATTTGTATAATATTCGATTTTTTAAAAAAATAAATCATAATGTTTTTCTAAAGTCTTAAGTGTTCGATAATTATAAACAGACAGTATAACTTGTTTTTATTTTGCAGCTTTTGTATAATATTAATCTTCTTGTAAAGAATAAAGAAAAAAAAANATTGCATCCTCCATCTGTTTCATTATACCACTTACTGTTGTTTCATTAATCTATTTCTTTCCGAATTGTTCATGTTGGAACACTCTACCAGGCCGGATATTTATAAATTAGTTTTCTGTTCGGTTGACTTCTTCCCAATATGAAGGTCAACAGTAAGGTTAATATAGTTTTTTTTTTTAAGTCTTTGATCATGCTTAAATAGATTTACATAGAAATTCAATGTGCTAGACATGTTATATGCGATATCTTATTATATTATCCTTATAATGTACTGTAGATAAGACGTTGTTTAGAGAAAAGTGCAGTAAATTAATCATAATTAAAGAATTCCTCTTCGTTTTTTTTCTCGACAAATAAACTTACAAATATTTATATATTATCTTGTAAATAATGATTTAAATAATCGTTATTTACAAGATAATTCACATAGAAGTTTTTAAAATTTTATAAATGCATTAGAAAGCATAGATCTAATATTCAAACAACTTACACCAACGAAACTGCAAATGATCTGTTTAAAACTAATTATAGGCTTATAGTCTTCTTTAAACAAGTAAATATATATAAGGAATAGACGTTGTTTAGAGAATAGTAGGCCTATATATCTTTAAAAAAGTAAGTATATACAAAGACGGATCCACGGAGGCTACAATCTCTTAAGTCCCTATTGACACGACACACAAAGAAAAATTGATTTATCTGTTCGGATTTCAAAACATTGTTTTTAAAAACTTTTGTGATAGCAAATAGGATTTATCGGACCATCCACAATACAATCGTCTCGCTCATGTTAATAAAAGTATTTATAATCAAATATTTTTAATTTTTGAGTTAAACCCCTTATGAGTGATCCGTTGCTGAGTATAATACGTATATATACTGTGGACTGGTATATATAACTTATACTTTATACAAGTATATAACGATAAAAATAAATTTGAATTGCTAAAAATTAAATTTGTTTTAACTTACAGTATTTTATTTTTGAAGGACAAACATTTAATCAATATTTTTTCGTATTAAAAATAAAAGAAAATAAGTTATTTTTTGTTTCGATTACGCTTGCAATCTATACGTAACTGTGGAATAACTATAGAAGTTGCAATCTACAGTTAAATAATATTTTATATCATAGAACTTATATTAAGAATTTCTAATCATGAAAAATTATATAATCGTATGATTAGTTTTAATTTTCATTTAATTTGTTCGAAATGCCACAGTTTTAATAATAACGAGGTTGCGGCCGAAGTTTTCATCTCTCAAACGTGAACGTCAAACGTCGAGCGCCGCTATCTTGTAGGTGGCGCTCGACGTTCGACGTTCACGAAAACTTCAGCCGCAACCTCTCTAATTACAGTTCGTATTATATCTGTTTATACATTTTGTTATTTATTTTCTATTAACTTAATCATTTGTCAAAGTGTCCATGACAAAAAGCCACAAAGAAATCTTAAGGAAATCCTCCTGCGATTCTGTAATATAATTAAATTGTCAAATTTCTAGTGTTTACATTATTATTTTTGTAACTAATTTTAAGAAGTAAAACGACAAATCTTTATGTAAATTTTCTTATTTTACAGATTTATTATTCTTTTTATATAGAATTTTATCCAGATTATCCGTACAGTACATTTTATACAAAACATATATAGGCCTATATTTTTTATACTCTTATACAAATAATGTTAGATTTTTATATAAATATTTTTTATGTTTTACTTGAGTTTATTAAAATAAATTTAAAAAATAAAATGTTAGAAATATTATACAAAATTACTTAATGATTTCCGGGCTAATAAAATAAAGAAATAAAAATTTGAAATTATAAAGTAAGCTTTTATTAAAATATGTTATCAAATGTACTGTACTGTACATTTCGATATTAACCTTCGAAAAATATTCAAATTTCATTGTTCTAATGGTTCTTAGAGATAGTTATAAACTATATCTGGTAATTTAGATAAATACAGGCATACCTCGACTTACGTCGTTTCGAGTTACGTCGTTCCCGATTATACGTCGCTTGTTAAAAAAGTATATGGAAAAATAAAAATCAAGTTTAAGTCATTTTATTCGACTTTACGTCTGTCCGCCACAAATATTGAAGTCGTAATATCACTAGATAAACGTTTAAAGCACATAAAATCATATTAAAATATATACAAGTATGTACTGTATTTACAGTACACGCATTCGTAAATTTAGATTATTTTTTTTGTACTATATTAAAAACTAAAATTTATTTGTTTGTAAGCTTAAAATAG